CCCCATAATCCACGTCCCCACCAGCCCAGCCCTGAAAATCATGGGGCCACCACCCTGGAGAACCCACAATTCACGTCCTCACCACCCTGGAGACCCCACAATCCATGTCCCCATCACTCCATCCCAGGAACTCATGGGGCCACCACCCTGGAGACCCCACAATCCATGTCCCCATCACTCCATCCCAGGAACTCATGGGGCCACCACCCTGGAGACCCCACAATCCATGTCCCCATCACTCCATCCCAGGAACTCATGGGGCCACCACCCTGGAGACCCCACAATCCATGTCCCCATCACTCCATCCCAGGAACTCATGGGGCCACCACCCTGGAGACCCCACAATCCATGTCCCCATCACTCCATCCCAGGAACTCATGGGGCCACCACCCTGGAGACCCCACAATCCACGTCCTCACCACCCCATCCCGGAAACTCATAGGGCCACCACCCTGGAGACCCCATGGGCCACATCCCCACCACCCCAGCCCCCAAAAGGATGGGGACACCATCCTGAAGAATCCACAAGCCACGTCCCCACCACCCCAGCCCCCAAAACTCATGGGGCCACCACCCCAGAGAACCCACAAGTCACATCCCCACCACCCTGGAGACTCCATGAGCCATGTCCCCACCACCCCATCCCAGGAACTCATGGGGCCACCACCCTGGAGACCCCACAATCCACGTCCCCACCACCCCATCCCCAAAAGGATGGGGCCACCACCCTGGAGACCCCACAATCCACGTCCCCACCACCCCATCCCCAAAAGGATGGGGCCACCACCCTGGAGACCCCACAATCCACGTCCCCACCACCCCATCCCCAAAAGGATGGGGCCACCACCCTGGAGACCCCACAATCCACGTCCCCACCACCCCATCCCCAAAAGGATGGGGCCACCACCCTGGAGACCCCACAATCCACGTCCCCACCACCCCATCCCCAAAAGGATGGGGCCACCACCCTGGAGACCCCACAATCCACGTCCCCACCACCCCATCCCCAAAAGGATGGGGCCACCACCCTGGAGACCCCACAATCCACGTCCCCACCACCCCATCCCCAAAAGGATGGGGCCACCACCCTGGAGACCCCACAATCCACGTCCCCACCACCCCATCCCCAAAAGGATGGGGCCACCACCCTGGAGACCCCACAATCCACGTCCCCACCACCCCATCCCCAAAAGGATGGGGCCACCACCCTGGAGACCCCACAATCCACGTCCCCACCACCCCATCCCCAAAAGGATGGGGCCACCACCCTGGAGACCCCACAATCCACGTCCCCACCACCCCATCCCCAAAAGGATGGGGCCACCACCCTGGAGACCCCACAAGTGTCACCTGGATGCCCGAGACGGTGAAGTAGGGGATCTCGAAGCGGACGGCGATGGGTGGCCGTCCCTCCTCCTCCTCCTTCTCCACGCTGGGCAGCCCGAAGTGGGCACGCATGAGGTGCTCCTTCCCACCCTGAGGGACAACCCCCCCACCCAACCGTGGTGGCACCAGATCGGGGTGGGTGGCCGTCCCTCCTCCTCCTCCTTCTCCACGCTGGGCAGCCCGAAGTGGGCACGCATGAGGTGCTCCTTCCCACCCTGAGGGACAACCAACCCCCCAACCGTGGTGGCACCAGATCGGGGCGGGGAGGAGGGGACCATCACGTCCCCAAGGGAGGGGACACCCCTGTTGGGGGGTGGAGGAACCTCACCGGGAAGGACTTGATGGTCCAGATGACCAGGTTCTTCTCCGGGAGGTACTTGGCGGAGCCCACGGTGGTCTTGAACTTGGGGGAGTCGGCGTCGCTGGGCACCGGCACCGCGATCTCCACCCCGTTGGCCACCGATTGCTTCTTGAACTGGCCCTTGGCCTTTTGGGGACACAAATGTGTGGGGTGGGGTGGGGTTGGGTTGTCCCCTCACCCCGTGGTGGTGGTGATGTCCCCCCTCCCTCCCACCAGCATCTCACCTTGACCATGATCTCCACCCGGCTGTGGGAGAACTTCTCGATGACCGACTCGATCCAGATGAGGGGCTTCACCTGCAGGTGGGTGGTGGAGGAGAAGTGTCACCTCCGTGTGTCCTCCAGGTGTGTCTTTGGGGGTGTCCCCCCACCACCCCAAAAAAAGATGTCCCCGTGTCCCCACCTGGGTGTGGAGACGGTAGGACATGAGCTCGAAGTCTCCATCGGGTGGGATGAAGGAGATGGTGCGGTCGTTGTCGAAGCGGGAGAGCCGGACGCACTGGTGGAACTTGACGTCCTCCAGCTCCACCGACTTGTTGGTGCCTCCTGGGGAGGAGGGGACATCATCAAGGTGGGGGGACAGGAGGGGACAGGGACATGTCACCTCCCACCCCACCAGCCCCGGTGGTGGAACTCACGGCCCGTCAGCTCGAAGAGGACGCGGTCGTTGAGGCCCAAGCGCAGCTCGGGCATCCCCGAGAGGAACACCTTCAGCTTGATGGTGCCCACCACCTCGCTCAGCAGAATGCTGCCGTTGGCGCTCACCTGTGGGACGTCCCCCCACCACCCCAAAAAAAGATGTCCCCGTGTCCCCACCTGGGTGTGGAGACGGTAGGACATGAGCTCGAAGTCTCCATCGGGTGGGATGAAGGAGATGGTGCGGTCGTTGTCGAAGCGGGAGAGCCGGACGCACTGGTGGAACTTGACGTCCTCCAGCTCCACCGACTTGTTGGTGCCTCCTGGGGAGGAGGGGACATCATCAAGGTGGGGGGACAGGAGGGGACAGGGACATGTCACCTCCCACCCCACCAGCCCCGGTGGTGGAACTCACGGCCCGTCAGCTCGAAGAGGACGCGGTCGTTGAGGCCCAAGCGCAGCTCGGGCATCCCCGAGAGGAACACCTTCAGCTTGATGGTGCCCACCACCTCGCTCAGCAGAACGCTGCCGTTGGCGCTCACCTGCGGGCACCCATCATCATCATCTTCATCATCATCATCATCCTCATCAACATCCTCATCATCACCACCAGCAGCAGCAACATCAACGTCACCAGCCCCATCACTGGCCTCATCACCGTCTTCATCCCCATCCTCATCGCCTGCCCCATCAACCTCACCGTCGCCGTCGCCAGCCCCGTCAACCTCCCCATCCTCATCATCATCACCATCCTCATCATCATCACCATCATCATCATCGTCACCATCATCATCATCATCATCAGCCCCATCACTGTCCCCATCACCATCTTCATCATCATCCCCATCATCAACCTCCCCATCTTCATCCCCAGCCCCATCACTGGTCCCATCCCTGGTCCCACCAGCATCACCATCACCATTCCCATCACCATCCTCATCCTCATCATCATCTCCATCCTCATCACCATCCCCAGCCCCATCTCCATCCTCATCCTCATCACCATCACCATCTTCATCCCCAGCCCCATCACCGGTCCCATCCCTGGTCCCACCATCATTCCCAGTCCCACCAGCATCACCATCACCAGCTCCATCACCATCCTCATCTCCATCATCATCCTCATCCTCATCACCATCTTCATCCCCAGTCCCACCAGCATCACCATCACCAGCTCCATCACCATCCTCATCATCATCTCCATCCTCATCACCATCTTCATCACCAGCCCCATCACTGGTCCCATCACTGGTCCCACCATCATCCCCAGTCCCACCAGCATCACCATCACCAGCCCCATCACCATCCTCATCCTCATCACCATCACCATCCTCATCCCCAGCCCCATCACTGGTCCCACCATCATCCCTGGTCCCACCAGCATCACCATCACCGGTCCCATCACCATCCTCATCCTCATCACCATCCCCATCCCCAGCCCCATCACTGGTCCCATCCCCGGTCCCACCATCATCCCTGGTGTCCCACCACCATCACCCCCACCAGCCCCACCACCCGTCCCACCACCACCGCCCCATGGTGTCCCCATGTGTCTCACCAGCAGGTTGACGGACTCGATGACGTCGATGAAGACCTCGTTCTTCTTGTAGCGGATGCCCTCGGAGCGCCAGGACACGGCGTTGGTCACCGTGGTGGGGACGCGCGACTTCCCCGTCTCCAGCTTGTTGCCCTCCTGGGTGATGTACCTGTGGTGGTGGTGGTGGTGGGATGGAGATGTTGGGGGGCTGAGGAAGATACGGGGTGGCCCCCCATGTCCCCCCCAACCCCGTGTCCCCCCCTCACTCCTGCAGGATCTTGCTGTCGGTGGTTTGGGGGAAGCCAAAGTCCATCAGCTCGTCCAGGAGCTCGTAGACGATGACGAAGTTGTCCCGGATGCTCTCCTCCTCCAACTCCTTGAAGTATCATCCCCAGCCCCATCACCGGTCCCATCCCTGGTCCCACCATCATTCCCAGTCCCACCAGCATCACCATCACCAGCTCCATCACCATCCTCATCTCCATCATCATCCTCATCCTCATCACCATCTTCATCCCCAGTCCCACCAGCATCACCATCACCAGCTCCATCACCATCCTCATCTCCATCATCATCCTCATCCTCATCACCATCTTCATCCCCAGTCCCACCAGCATCACCATCACCAGCTCCATCACCATCCTCATCATCATCTCCATCCTCATCACCATCTTCATCACCAGCCCCATCACTGGTCCCATCACTGGTCCCACCATCATCCCCAGTCCCACCAGCATCACCATCACCAGCCCCATCACCATCCTCATCCTCATCACCATCACCATCCTCATCCCCAGCCCCATCACTGGTCCCACCATCATCCCTGGTCCCACCAGCATCACCATCACCGGTCCCATCACCATCCTCATCCTCATCACCATCACCATCCCCAGCCCCATCACTGGTCCCATCCCCGGTCCCACCATCATCCCTGGTGTCCCACCACCATCACCCCCACCAGCCCCACCACCCGTCCCACCACCACCGCCCCATGGTGTCCCCATGTGTCTCACCAGCAGGTTGACGGACTCGATGACGTCGATGAAGACCTCGTTCTTCTTGTAGCGGATGCCCTCGGAGCGCCAGGACACGGCGTTGGTCACCGTGGTGGGGACGCGCGACTTCCCCGTCTCCAGCTTGTTGCCCTCCTGGGTGATGTACCTGTGGTGGTGGTGGTGGTGGGATGGAGATGTTGGGGGGCTGAGGAAGATACGGGGTGGCCCCCCATGTCCCCCCCAACCCCGTGTCCCCCCCTCACTCCTGCAGGATCTTGCTGTCGGTGGTTTGGGGGAAGCCAAAGTCCATCAGCTCGTCCGGGGAGGAAGGGGGCGGGTTAAGGAAAAATGGGGGGCAACGGGAGGTGGCTATGGGGAGATGTGGGTCACGGGGAGGATACGGTAGAGGTTGGCGTGTTTGATCCAGAGGAAGTGGACGTGGCCGTGGGTCAGGAGCGGGGCCAAGGTCCCCTCCTCCTCCCGTTGCAGCAGGAGCCCCATGAAGTGGTCGATCTCCCCCAGCCCCACGTCCCCCTTGTAGTTGCGGCTGATCAGGGGCTGTGGGGCGAGGTGGGGCGGGTTGGGGGGCAGGGGGGACACACAAGGAGGGGGTCAGTGTCCCCACCTCCCACCCCACCCCACCCCTGACCCACGGCGAGGGGTCACGGAGCCATGGTGGACCATGACCCACAGCAAGTGGCTCCTGATGGTGGCCCTGACCCATGGTGAGGGGCCACTGACCCACAGCAAGTGGTCCCCGACCCACAGCGAGTGGCCACCATCCCACAGCAAGTGGCCCCCAACCCACAGCAAGTGGCCACCAGCCCACAGCAAGTGGCCAACGACCCACAGGAAGTGGCCACCAACCCACAGCAAGTGGCCACCAGCCCACAGCAAGTGGCCCCCAACCCATGGTGAGTGGCCAATGACCCACAGCAAGTGGCCACCAACCCATGGCGAGTGGTCACCAGCCCACGACGAGTGGCCACTGACCCACAGCCAGTGGCCAACCCACAGTGAGTGGCCCCCAACCCACGGTAAGTGGCCACCAACCCATGGCGAGTGACCCCTGAGCCACAGCAAGTGGCCACCGACCCATAGCAAGTGGCCAACCCACAGCAAGTGGCCCCCGACCCACGGCAAGTGGCCCCCAACCCACAGTGAGTGGTCCCTGACCCACAGTGAGCGGCCCCCAACCCATGGCAAGTGGCCACTGACCCACAGCAAGTGGCTACCAACCCATGGAGAGTGGCCAACCCACGGCAAGTGGCCACCGACCCACAGCAAGTGACCCCCAACCCACGGTAAGTGGCCACCAACCCATGGCAAGTGGCCACCAACCCACAGTGAGTGGCCCCCGACCCACAGCAAGTGGCCACCAACCCACAGTGAGTGGTCCCTGACCCACGGCAAGTGGCCAAAGACCCACAGCAAGTGGCCAACCCACAGCAAGTGGCCACCAACCCATGGCGAGTGGCCAACGACCCACGGCAAGTGGCCCCCAACCCACAGTGAGTGGTCCCTGACCCACGGCGAGTGGCCAATGACCCACGGCAAGTGGCCCCCAACCCATGGCAAGTGGCCACCAACCCACAGCGAGTGGCCACCAACCTACAGCAAGTGGCCACTGACTCATGGCAAGTGGCCAACCCACAGTGAGTAGCCTCCAACCCATGGTGAGTGGCCACCGACCCACAGCAAGTGACCCCCAACCCACAGTAAGTGGCCACCAACCCATGGCAAGCGGCCCCCGACTCACGGCAAGTGGTCCCTGACCCACGGCTAGTGGCCCCCGACTCATGGCAAGTGGCCACCGACCCACAGTGAGTGGCCCATGACCCACGGCAAGTGGCCCCCAACCCACAGCAAGTGGCCACCAGCCCACGGAGAGTGGCCCCCAACCCACAGCAAGTGGCCAACCCACAGCAAGTGGCCACCAACCCACAGCAAGTGGCCCCTGACCCACAGCAAGTGGCCACCAACCCACAGTGAGTGGCCGCCGACCCACGGCAAGTGGCCCCCAACCCACGGCAAGTGGCCACCAACCCATGGCAAGTGGCCACCCCACATCTAGTGGCCCCCAACCCACAGCGAGTGGTCCCCAACCCATGGCAAGTGACCCCCAACCCATGGTAAGTAGCCACCAACCCACAGTGAGTGGCCCCCGACCCACAGCAAGTGGCCACCAACCCACAGCAAGTGGCCAACGACCCACAGCAAGTGGCCAACCCACGGCAAGTGGCCCCCAACCCACGATGAGTGGCCACCAACCCACAGCAAGTGGCCCCCAACCCACAAGTGACCCCTGACTCATGGCAAGTGGCCACCAGCCCACGATGAGTGGCCACTGACCCACAGCAAGTGGCCACCAACCCACAGTGAGTGGCCACCAACCCACAGTGAGTGGCCACCGACCCACAGGAAGTGGCCACCCCACGGCAAATGGCCACCCCACATCTAGTGGCCCCCAACCCACGGTTAGTAGCCCCCAACAGTCCCCCCCCTCCCCAAATCCCCCCCTCCCACCACGTCTCTTCTGCAAATAAATCTTTGGCAAGTAAAGGCTACGTGAGCATAGAACCATAGAATTGAGCGTGGCCACCCAGCTGATTCCTCATCCACCAAGTGGTCCATCTGTCAAGTCCATGTCTCTCCAATTTAGAAACCAGGATGTCATTCAAGCATCTGCAGTCTTCAAGTTACCCACAAAAAAACCACAGACAAGGCATTGTATGCACTATGTTCTCAGGTGCACACAGAGGGTC